CTTGTTATTTTTACATCTGCAGCAAACCCTTGTTTTTTCCCTTTCACCCCAAAAAAAAAAAAAAAAAAAAAAAAAAAAAAAAAAAGAAAAGTTCCCATATAATCCAGGTTGACCACCAACTCTCTAGGAGGAAGACCTCGAACTTCCTTTTTAATCTCCTACTGCCCAAGTTTTGGCATGCTGGGGTTTGAACCCAGGGCTTTGTGCATGCTAGGCCAGCAGTCTGCCAACTAAGCTATATCTCCAGCCTCTAAACATGAATTTTTAAGGCCTGTCATGCTAGTGCCCCGGGTGCATACTTCATCTTCCTCTTTGGCACTGTATCCCAGAGGCAGTTCCTCTGTGACCCCTTCCACACATACCGCTTCCAGCATAGAGCCTGGAGTGAAGTCAGTGTGAGTCTATGAAGGATTAAGCAGTGGTGTAAGTTTTCCTCCCTGGAAGACAAACCTGAGAAGGCAGAAACGCAGGACCCTATCCAGCCGACCTGGGACTCGATAGTCCTTTGCTTTCTCCAGGTTGTGATTTCCTCACAGTTTTGGTGTTTTCTTGTGATAAACTGCACTACCCTCAATATCATAACTGCCCGCTGCTTTCTGCTGACTAATTCAGCAACCTTGGGATTCCGCCATGGAAGGATTGTAGTAGCTGCATGGCCAGGGTATGCAGAGACCCCAGGGTCCAAGAGCTGAAATAGTTCGGTGACAGAATAGGGGGCTATGATCAGGTAGCTGAGGTGTTAACTCCTGGGGTTAAGGACTGAGGGGGCAGGAGATTCAGTAACTTTGGGATCTGTCCACTTTGTGACCACAAAATTTAAGGACCCACGAAGCCATACAGCTTCAGGCCCAGGATCTGAAGACACACGATTGAAATCTAGGGGTCCAGGATCCAAGCAGTTCCGACACGGGGTGCTTTTAAGACCCTGAGTCAAGTGTTCAAAGGCAGCAAAGCTCAGCGTGCTCACGCACAGGTGCAACCCCGGTGGTCTCTCAGAGCCCAGCGCTGCAGCCATTAGTCCCTTGGCTTTCATTGGTGAGTCCTCTGAAGCGTGGACCAGTCAAAACCTTCCTAGTGTCTCCTGCCCCCGCCCAGCTGTCGCTCAGCAAAACTGGGGGTGGGGCCTTTCCACAGCGATCCAATGGCAGTGCAGGCGTGGCGCGCGCGGCCTGGCAATTGGCTGCCGTGAGAGGGCGCTGTCAGAGTCGGATTGGCCCGGGTCGGGACGGAAGCGCCCCAGGTCTGGAGCGGTTGGAATCCTGCAGGCGCGATGTGGGGCGCGAGCAGGGGCCGGGCTGCCCAGCGGGCGCTGCTGGCGCTGCTGCTGGCGCTGCTGCTGGCGCTGTCGGTGCCGAGCGGTGGCGCGTCCAAGACCATCGCCGGGCTCGTGACCTGCGGGTCGGTGTTGAAGCTGCTCAATACGCACCACCGGGTGCGGCTGCACTCGCACGACATCAAATACGGATCCGGTGCGCCGGGCTGGTGACTGGGACGCAGGGGGCAGAGGCTCGGAGGCCAAATGGTCCTAGGGGTCCGTGGGCTGTCGGGGAGCAGGGCGGCTGAGTCTAGACTCGCTGGGGGCCATGAGAGGCAAGCTCCGGGGGATGGGGACACGGAGGGGCCGTAGGGACGTGGGGGTCAGGCGCGGGCAGGGGTGAGCCAATGGGATCCTGGCGTGGGGATTGTGGGGGAAACTTCTGAGTGTCCTAGACGAGGGTCCGAGTTGTGTGATTGACAGAGCTCCGGGGCTGGGGTGGGATGTCCCTTCGCAGGCAGCGGCCAACAGTCGGTAACCGGCGTGGAGGCATCTGACGACGCCAATAGCTACTGGCGGATCCGCGGCGGCTCGGAGGGCGGGTGCCCGCGCGGCGTCCCAGTGCGCTGTGGGCAAGCAGTGAGGCTCACGCACGTGCTCACCGGCAAGAACCTGCATACGCACCACTTCCCGTCGCCGCTGTCCAACAACCAGGCAAGCCCCCATCCTAACCCTTCCAAGGCTGCGCGTGCGCGATCCCGGGCGACAGCGGGACACGGTGGGGGATGGGGTGCGGGGAGGGGCCGGAGAGGTTACTCTGAGGGTCAGCTGCTGTGAAATGGGAGTTTTGGTTCAGAAGTGTTTATGGAAAGGGAGAAAGGAAGGGAGAGAGAGAGGCAGAAAGAGACACAGCGAGACAGACAGACACACACACACACACACAGAACATTGTCTGAAGCTCAGTTGTGAAATGGTTGTTTCTATTCTGAAGTGTTTTTGGAGCTCCTGCTCTGGGTTCTGACCCATGGAACTTCCATCCCTAGACCTGGGAAAAGGACTGGAAGAGATCAATGACTAACTACTATTTGGGGGGCGGGAGCGGGGGTGGGACCACACAGCCAATAGGCAATAGGAAACTGCAGAAAGACTCAGGCTGCTAAGTGGGATAAGATCCACCCGCTGTGGAAGAGCTTTTGCTAAAGCATCATTACAAATGGTGGGGTAGGATCATGGGAAGAAACTGACAGTGCTTTGGGGCATTTCTGGGGGGAGAGGGGAATGTTGGAGATAGAGAACTTGGCCATTAGTTTGGCAGCCTGGGGGATTGGGCCTTACAGAGGTTAGGACTGGGAGATTATGGAGTAGGAAGCCTTAGCTCCAGAGGTCAGTGTTCACTACACAGACAGATGCAAAGCTGTACTACATGCATTTGAAGAGCTTGCTTGGCTGATGTCTGCCTTGGCAACCATGGAAGCTGGGGTTCTGGGAAAGGACCCAGAGACCCAGGATACTGGATGCAAGTGCCACTGCTAAGCATGTAGCTCTAGAATACTCTGTGCTCTAGGTGGTAACTGTCCTCCATACTTCACACCCATAGGAGGTGAGTGCCTTTGGGGAAGATGGTGAGGGTGACGACCTGGACCTGTGGACAGTACGATGTTCTGGGCAACACTGGGAGCGTGAGGCCACTGTACGCTTCCAGCATGTGGGCACCTCTGTGTTCCTGTCAGTCACTGGTGAGCAGTATGGCAACCCCATCCGTGGGCAGCATGAGGTGCATGGCATGCCCAGTGCCAACACTCACAACACATGGAAGGCCATGGAGGGCATCTTCATCAAGCCTGGTGCAGATCCCTCTGTAGGTCATGATGAACTCTGAATGTTGGGTGGGTGAAAGGAGGGTGGCTGGGTAGGGAATCTGCAAGGCCACTCTTGTGAGGGAGACTTTGGGTTTGTAGGGGTCCCTAAGTGCCTTTGTGATTAAAGAATGTTGGTTTGTGATTATGTTCGCTGTGAGCCCAGGGATGACTAGGAGGTGCCAGCTATCCCTGGCCTAGTTTACCATCTCACCTATCCCCAGGCCAGCTTTGGTACTGAACCTGTTCAAACTTAAAAACAAGTTATTATTTATTATTACTATTTTGTGTGTGCATGTGGTATGTGTGTGTGTGTGTGTGTATGTGTGTGTATGTGTGTGTGTGTGTGTATGCACATGCATATGCATGGTGTGTGTGGGCACAACACATGTGGAGGTCAGAGGATAACTTTGTAAGTCAGTTCTCTTCTTCTGCCTTTATATGGGTTCTAGGTCTCAAACTCAGGCTGTCAGGCTTGTGCAGCACATACTTTATCCCAAGCCATCTCACTGGCTCCAAACCTTTTTTTTTTTTTTCCCAATACTTGTCCATGAACTCTAATACTGCCTTGTGCAGTCAACTCGTTTGTCTACCCTTCATTGGTCTTGTGGCAAGGGACCTCAGTTTTAGAGAACTTTCGAATCCACTCATCCCTTATTGTGAGGACTCCACTTTCCTGGTGACTGTGGCAGTCTTGACACTTATCTCTAATCAATGGCTTGTTGAGGACTCCACCTGTCTACTGGAGATTAGCAGCACAGGCTGCTGTATGCTTGCTATAAATGACACCCTCCCCTCCCCAGCCTGCCCAAGTTGTTGCATCTCAGACCCCCCACCATACCCTTCCAAGGCTTGAAAGAGAAAGGAGAACCTCAAAAGGAATCTCAAGGGAAGACAACCCCAAAGAACCACCTGTAGAAACCTGAGAAGGCTCCTGGAAGAGGAGGCACAGTCTGGGCAGTCAGAGTACTATAATTTAAAGACAGGAGCAGGGGCCTAGAGCCGTGGCTCAGTAGTTAAGAGTGCTTCCTGCTCCTCCAGAGAACCTGAGTTTGGTTCCCAGTATCCACAGCAGGCAGATCACAAGTGCCTGTAACTCCAGCTTCTGAGGATCTGAAGCCCTCTTTTGGCCTCTATGAGTACTTGCAATTGTGTGTGCATATCCACATATACATACACACAAAATTAAAACTAAAAATAAGCTGGGCATGGTGGCACACACCTTTAGTCCAAGCAGAGGTAGGCAGATCTTTGAGTTCCAGGCCAGAATGGTTTACATAGCAAGTTCTAGGCCAGCAGGGATACATAGTGAGACCCTGTCTCAGAAAAAACACAGGCGCAGAGGGCTGTGGTGTGGGGAAATTTAAGTTCAGTGATAGAGTAGGTGTTTGGAATACATGAGGCTATATCCAGGGGACATAGCCCAACAGTAGAACACTTGTTGTCATACACTTGTTATCATACACAAGGCCTAGCAACAAAATTAAATGAGAAATGCACGTAATTCAGTGTATAGGTGGTTTTTTTTTTTTTTTTTTTTTTTTTTTTTTTTGAACAGGGTCTCCCTGTAGCCCCAGCTGGCCTAGAACTCACTATGTAAACCAAGATAGCCTTGAACTCACAGAGATCTGCCTGCCTCTGCTTCCTGAGTGCTGGAATTAAAGGCATGCCCCACCATGCCTGGCTTCAGTGTATAGTTAAAATAAGTAAATAAAAACATGAGCAGAAGAAATAGAAGTCCCCAAATCAAGTGACTAACAGCTCTGCTAGTGCATCTGTGGCCTCTAGAGGCAGTGGGGGAAATGACAGGCTTCTGGGAACTAAAGGCTTAAGGGAGCTGCTGGGGGCAATGCCGAGCTAGGATGGCAACTGGCTATATAGGACTTGGAGTGGGGTGAGAAGAGCACATGTATTTGAGAAATCAATTGACTTTATTAAAGTATGGGGGTGAGAGAAAAGCTGTAGCCAGATTATTCTCCTACCCTATGAAACCCTGGCCTTTCCACTGCCAACTTCTTGTAGTTGTTTCTTTTTTGTCTTTTGGAGACAGGGTCTTCCTGTAGCTCCAGCTAGCCTGAAACTCACTATGTAGACTCACAGAGATCTGCCTACCTCTGCCTCCTGAGTGCTGGGATTAAAGGCATGTACCATCACACCCAGCTACTGCTAAATTCTTGAGCATCATCTACAAGTTTGCATTCCTCTCCATCACTTGGGATCTGAGAAGATTTGATGGAAGCAGATTGTTGGGAGGGGATCCTAGCAAATGCTGAGACAGCCATGGGACTGTGAAAGGAGAAAGGAAACACGCATTGTAGAGCAAGTCTCCCCATGGGCAGTTAGAATTCAGTCCCATTGGGGAATCCCACCAAACTTATACCATCTGAGAGGCAAGGAATGTACTCAGCGAAGCATCTCCTCTCATTGGCTGAGGGCTGCTGGGTGAGTGGGAGCAATTACTCTACAAGTATTTCTCACTCTGTGCATTGGATAAGGGACTCCAACAGCTAGAATAAGATTCCAGGTAGAGTGAGTCATGGGTGCTGGCAAGGGGCTATTCTTTCTGTAAATGTAAGTGCCAAGAAAGTATGAGGTAGGGCATTCCAGTATGGATACACCCTGTGCATGTCCAGATGTATGCTTGTACACACCCAGGAAGGCATTGAGGCATTGCTAATTAAGGGAAGAACTCGAAAGTGCACAGCAGGTAGGTATCCTTGGTGACTAATATGCTGTTGGAGCAGGTCATTTGGCTTCATGCAGAAAAGCAGCAGCAAAACTTTGTTTTTTGAAACAGTCTCCTGTATCCCCAGTTGGCCTAGATCTTGCTATGTAGAGGAGGCTGACCTGCCTGCCTCTGCTTCCTGAGTGCTGGGATTAAAGTCCTGTGCCACCATGCTTTGCTCATTTTTTTTTCTTTTTTTGAGACAGTACCCTGTATTTCAGACTGGTCTTGAATTTACAACTCATGAGACTACCCTTGAACTTCTGATCCTCCAGTCTCTATATTCCAACTGACATTCTGGTACCAATTTTGTGGAGAGAGGCAGTGTAGTGAGTCATGCCTGTAAGCCCAGCACTACAGAAGAAGTAGGAGGCTAGCCATAAGCCCAAGGCTAGCCTGGTTTATACAGTAGTTGCTGGCCAGCTAGGAGTATATGGTAAGATCTTAAGAAACAGCAAGCCCGGTGTGGTGCCACATGCCTTTAGTCCCAGCACTGGGGAGGCAGAGGCAGGTGGATCTCTGAATTCAAGACCGGCCTGGTCTACATAGTGAGTTCCAGGCCAGCTGGGGCTACAAGGAGACCCTGCCTCAAAAAGACCAAAAAAAAAAGAGCACTGACTGGTCTTGCAAAGGACCTGAGTTCAAGTCCCAGAACCCACATGGCGGCTAACAACCGTCCTGAACTCCAGTTCCAGGGGACGGGTCAGTTACATACATGCAGGCAATATGCTCATACACATAGAATATACACATAAAAACCACCACAACAAAAAGGACCAGATGTGATGGCGCTTGTCTTTAATCCCAGGACTCAAGCAGGCAGGACCTCAGCTGGGGCAACAGGGAGACCCTGTTTCAAAAATAAATAAATAAAATAATTTTTTCAGAGAAGACAAGAAGACAACCTAAGTTCCTGGAGACTGAAATCAGCTCTACCTGCTTCAAAAACATCGGTTCTCAACTACTGAACTGAGAATAAAACAGAAGAAGGTACAGATGCTCAGTTACACACACATTCCTCCCATTCCCAATATACAGTTAACTGCAGGTGCCATGTATCTTTCTCACTTATCAGTTCTGCATGGTCACTTAATGAACACTTACCCACAAAGTGGTTCACAATCACAGAGATACCCAAGCATCCTCTTCCCAGAATCTCCCTTACGTTCCTGCTAAGCTGCGCTCAGGGGATGCCTTGAAGTTGGGCAGAAAGAAGGAAGGCCACCTTGTTTGACTCACTGCCCCATCCCAGGGACACAATGAGCAAACCTCGCATACAATATGAAGAGGCCTGAGACCCCATGCAACCACAGGCACTGCTAGGGGTTCCGACATTTCCCGGGCATTTCAGCCGGTTCCCGGGTGTGTTCAGCTGTGCGGCGGGCATCGAAGCGCCCTCACGCGTACCACTAGAAAACCTGCAGAGATAGGAGCTAAGAAAAGGCGGGCAAAGTTCTTTTTCATAAGTTATGAATGAGGAGAAAGTGTTTGTGGAACTCATTGTTAAAACCTCAGAGCCTGAACTCCGGCTCCGCGGGGCCAATCGGAGCCCCGAGGCTATTTTGAAATCGCTCTGGTAGTAGCCAATAGGTGTGCGGGAAGCAAAGCTCCGGCTTGGCGCAGGCCAATGAGCCTGGCTCTATGCCTTGGAGTCAGGGGCTCAGCCCTCTCGACTGTCAGAGGGTTAAAGATGGAGCCGAGGGCGAGAGCGAGCCACGAGGTGCAGAGTCGTCCGGGTAGGACAGAGGCGGATGACGACCAGGACCCCCTCCAGCTAATCTTCGCCTTGCCCCCGTCGTGCGGGAAAGGGGTGTCTGTTCGTGTGAGTGGCGGGTCTGAGGTGGGGGGCGTGGGAAGAGCCCTGCTGGGCCAGAACTGCGGGGGAGGCCATCAGGACCCCCAGGCCCTCCCTGGGTAGGGAACTGCAGGGAGCTCGAGGCTCTCATCTGCTCTGCGGGGCAGAAGAAGGATAGGACAGAATGCTCAGCTCAGAACCGAGTTCATACTGGGGGCACCTGGCCAGGAGACCTGGTCTTGAGCTTGCACAGTCTCACTTGCCGCTAGTCAGCTACCCCTTTTATTCTGGAGCTGCAGGCCGAAGCTGGGAGCAGAGTTACAGAACTGCTCACTCCACTCGCTCCAAGTACCAGCTGGCTTCTACTGGCGCTGAGCGCAGGTCTCTCTCCTTTGTGTGTGAGTCCCCGCTGGTGCTGGCCCTTCAGCTCTCTCCAGGGAAGTCCTCCTTCCACCAGACTCTGAACCACGTTGGGAATGTTAGGTTGCTGTCGGATTCTGAAGACCCCAAGGGCTGCAATCTCGGCTGGAATCCCTTCTGCGCCCCAAGTCTTGGACAGAGGCCCCACCCACCTATCATGGTTGAACTTCCCGCTCTGCATTGAGGGCGTTGGGGTATTGCCTGCTGGTTGCTGGTGCTCTGACGAGGTTGCACTACTGTGCTCTGAGAAGCAGTGCAATGATATTGTCAAAGCATCTGGGACCAGCCTTGGGGATCATTCCCTCACCTATGATCCCTTCTTTCTTCTCCTTCCAGGCCTGGCTCCTTTGGGTTGCAGACCATCCCCTCCCCCCTCATTCCACTCCCTTCTCTATGGAAGCTTGAGATTCTAGCCAGGCTTGTGCCTCTGGGGTCAGAGGGCATCCTTCCCCCAGGCAGAAGCCCCACCCCAGTGGGCTTGCATTCTAGGTTTCAGATCCTACCCACCCCCACAATCCCGAGTGGCTAATGGGCTTGCCCGACACTCTTTCCCTGTTGCACTACTGTGGGCCACTGGGAAGCAGTGCAATGATGAAAGGGCATCTGTCAGGCCTACCACCCACTGAGCTCACTCCTCTTCCCACCTGTGAAAGCTGAGGTACCAAGAGGGTAAGTGCTTGGATTAATTATGCATGGGTACAGAGTTGCACTGGACCCTCCATCACAGAGAAGATAAGGTGAGTGTTGGGGATGGTAGTCTAGGGCTGGACTAGTACAAAGGCAGAGAGACCCTAGACTTGGAAAGGCTCCAGTTTGAAGCTCTTCCTACACTGGTTCCCCAGGTTAAGATTGGGGAGTTCATGCTGGGCATAGTGGTGGCTCATGCCTGTAATTCTAGTACTCTGTAGGCTAAGGCAGGAAGATTGCCTCACATTTGAGGCTAGCCTGGCCTGCATAGTAAGTTGGAGACCAGCCTGGACTATGCTGGGACCCCGTCTCAAAAAAACAAAACAAAACAAAATTGATTCCAAGGCCTTGTAGAGAAACAGATGCTGATCTCTTCCTATGGAGGAGCTTTTTGTGCCTTGCTCAACCTTATCCACACCAAGAACAGGACCCAGCCTCTCCTGAATGCTTGAAACTAGGAAGGTAAGGAGTGTTCTGAGTGGGATTTGGGGAGAGGGAGAAGAGGCAGGCCCTCCAGGAGGTAGCTTTTACACCAGGGCACCACCTTGAGGCATGGAGCTCAGCGTGAGTGTACTATCTGAGATGGATGTATAGACCTGGAACAGGAAGTCTGCAGAGGAGGCCTGCTAGCCACACCTGCTTGCTCCTTTACAGGAGGACAGGTCTTTTTTCAAAAATATATTTTTATATGTATGAGTGTATTGCCTGCATGTATGGAAGTGTACCTGTGTCATGCAGTGCCCGCAGAGGTCAGAAGAGGGCATTAGATCCCCTGGACCTTGGAGATGGTTCTTAGCAGCCATGTGGGTAGGTACTAGGAACTGAACCTGGGTCCTCTCCAACAGCAGCCAATGCTCTTAACTGCTGAGCCATCTCTCCAGCCCTGGAGGATAGTCTTAATCAGGAGAAGCAGTGAGCTGTGTGCTTTTCTAGCTGTAGTAGCAGAACTGGAGTTGAACTTCTAAGGAGCCTGACCCTGGGTATGTGTGCTTGCAGGGTTACCTCTACCATCAAGACTTGACACAAGGTGCACAGTGACAGATGTCCAGGCCTGTCTCCTTGAGAGGAGGCCCAGGCTTCCAGATTAGCTCTTGGGAGTACCCTTCACCCCTGGTCTGAGAAAACTGGTTTCAATCCTACTCTAGGTATATAAGCCCTGGCACTCATAAGGAAACAAGGGGAAGTGACACATGATCCTTTTTCTCCTAGTCCTGACTCCCTGGGGCTCTTTGAACTCAGGATCACTGGATTCAAGCCATTCTCCTGTCCCCTGGGCTTCAAAGAGCATGGCAGAGGGTGGCCAGCCCTCACTCCTATGTAGATTCTGTACCTGCCATTGAAAAGCAGCTGTGGCTATCTTCTGCTTCTGCTGGGGGGGAGGCCATACATGTGTCACCATGTCTAGTTTATGTAGTGCTGGGAATCAAATCCAGGGCCTTGTGCTTGCTACATCACCAGTCTTCTACTTTTTTAGACAGGGTCTATGTTACCCATGAAAACTTCCTGCCTCAGCCTTCCCAGTGTCAAGAGTATCACACCCAGCTGTCACAATAGACTTTAAAAAACCCAAAAAGAGCAGGGCGTGGTGGCGCATGCCTGAAGTCCCAGCACTTGGGAGGCAGAGGTAGGCGGATCTCTGTGAGTTCAAGGCCAGCCTGGTCTACATAGTGAGTTCCAGGACAGCTGGGCCAGCAGGGAAACCCTGCTTCAAAAAGACAAAAAACAAAACAAAACAAAACAAAAAACCCAACAACAACAACAACAAAAAAACCAAAAAAAAAAAAAAAACCCCAAAAACAAAACAAAACCCAAATAGACATATAAAGTGCTGAGTATGGTTAGGGATCTCACTGACCCTGAGGATGTTTATCTTTCTTGACAAAAAGCACACGGTATATAAAAGTTCATTTTATAAGTCCCACAAGGGGCAGGGGAAGGATGGAGGCTGAACCCAATATATTGGAGTCTGTCTATACCTCTAGGCAAGGTGCTCTGAACATACATCCTTCCTCTTTTTCTCACCTTGTCCCTGACTCCTGTGTTGAGGGAAGCTGGGACTAGAGGGCTGGTTTCCCTGTAGTATCCAAAAAAATCTGATTGCACTACTCCAGTACATACAAGGGTCTCAGCTGATGGAGGGCTTTTCAGGGGAAGCAGCCTGGCATGCACCCTCCTTAGTGGCTAAGGTGGATATGGACCAGTGGCTGACCCAGGAGATCCTGGGAAAGCAGCTTGTTAGAATCCGTATGCATTCATCCTGAGATGCCCAGTAATCCCTCCCTGTACTTATCTTGGATGTGCTCAAGGAAGGTTTGAGTTAGTTCAGTTTTGTGCTTTGACCAAGACCAAAAGGTGGGGAAGATTGTTTAAGAGATATGATGAAGACAGAATCTTCAGAAATGCTTTAGTGGGGCTAGAGGAAAAGGGCAGAAGGGACTCAAGATACAGAGTATAGAGCAAAGAAGTCATCATGAACGGGAGGACAGCACAGGATCTGGAGAGGGATGTGTGTAGTGCTGCAGAATAGGGTCGAAAATGGAGAGGGCGGAAAGGCCAAAGCTAGAGGGTTTTGGGGCAGAAGGAAGTTCTTTTGGACATTTCCTTGGTGAACTGGGAGCCAGATTCTCTTTAGGACAGACTAGTGAAGCAGGGTGGGGAGGAGACTGCAAGCTACTGTGCTTTAGAGTGATGATAACCACGTCTCCCGAGTGGTCACAGTCAAGGAGATCCAAGTCCTGAAGGCTTAGGATGGCCCATAGTCATTCCACAACCCCAGCGGAGGCTCCAGTGCGCATGCCCAGATCGGTGGTTATTGTTACGTGTATTAGCCACGTCCCCTGCCTCCGGGGTCTCTGGCTGCGGTTAGGCGGGAGGGGGTGGGTAGTTTGGGGAATCTGAATCTGCCCCTTGGCTGTGGGGAAAGAGTGAGTACGGCCCGCAGTTCCCGCCCCGACGGGCTCCCGTCACCTCCCGGGACGCCAGCCTGGCCCTCTGGAAAGGTCCCCCATCGTCCGGAGCCCGGCCCCAAGCTGCACAGACGCGTCTCCAGCAGCCCCTTTCGAATGGAAGTCCTAGACGAGTTTGACAGCGAGTTTCCGCAGAGTGTGTCCTTCTGCCAGCTCATCTCTGAGGACGACTTCGAGAGGCAGGCTGCGACTTACACGGAGCGGGCGCTGCGCCGCCTCTTCCGCACCTTGGACCGCAACCCGGCTCTGGCGGAGAGGGTCGTGCGCAAGGGCAAGCAGACTGAGTTAGAGCAGCGTGGGCTCTTTTCCTTCTTATGGGTGCGGACCGAGGGCAGGACACCAGCTCTACCTGCTGTCCGTTAAGGCGGAGCTGTGAGGGTGGGACTTGGGCTGAGGGGCGTTGAGGGGTGCAGACAGGGTCTTTCCTAAGCCAAGGGTGCCAAGCTTGGAGGGTAGAGCAGGCAAGCAACCCTCCCGCTTCCCGCCTTTCCTCTGTCGCTGTTGCAGGTGAAGTTTGTCTGTGCTGTCCAGGGGGAACTGAACCAGTGCAACAGCATGGGTGCCCTGGAGATGCACCAGCGCCTGCAGCAGCTGAAGAGGCGTATCCACTGTGTGCACATGTATTCTCAAGGTGAGGCTCAACTTCTGAACAGCTTTCCCTGGAAATCTGAGCTCAGAGCAGCTCCCCTGGGCACACTGCAATGTATGCCAAGCCCATGATGGTGATTGCTTGTGAGGTACCCACCTCTACGCTCAAGGTTAGATTTGCCTGTTTTGGGCCAGGTTTTATTTTATGCAGAGCAGGAAGGAGGATCTGGGGAAGGCTGGGTCCAGGGAGAAAGGAAGGTACACCTCCTAGTATGATTAGCTAATTAAAAGGCAGACTTCAGCTCTGCTTCTTCCCTGCTGTGATCCTGAGAAAGTCAGGTCACATTCCCACCCCTCGAGCTCTTGCCACTAAGCTCATTTTGGGGTAGTGTGTGGAGTGTTATAGGCAGTGTTGGCTCTGGTAACCTACAAACCTAACCCAGGACCAACTTGTCTCTGGCCAGTATTTGACACTAGTAGAAAGTTTTTATTATGAAAGTATCAGATAGCTGGGGGTGGTGGCGCATGCCTTTAATCCCAGCACTTGGGAAGCAGAGGCAGGCACATCTTTGTGAGTTCCAGGCCAGCCTGGTCTACATAGTGAGTTCCAGGACAGCTGGGCCTACAGGGAGACCCTGTCTCAAAAAAACAAAAAAAAAAAAAAAAAAAAAAAAAAAAAAAAAAAAAGTATCAGGTGGGCAAGGTGGCACACGCCTTTAATCTCAGCACTCCTGAGTGCTGGGATTAAAAGTGTGTGCCACCATGCCTGGCAATTTAATTTTTTAAAATTACGTTTTTGTGTGTGTTTTTTCATGTATGGAGGTCAGAGAAAAACCTGCTGGAGTTGATTTTCTCCTTCCATCATGTGGGTCCCAAGGACGGAACTCAGGTCATAAGGCTTGCCAGGAAGTACCTTTACCTGCTGAGTCATTTTACCAGCCCTTCATTTAATTTTTTAAGAGTCAGGATCTCACTATGTTGCCTAAGCTGGTTTGAATTCTGTGGACTGAAGTAATTCTCACACCTCAACCTAAGTGCTGAGGCTACAGGTATGTGTCACTGTGTCTATATAATCTTGATTTGGAGGCTGGAGAGATGGCTCAGTGGTTAAGAGTGCATACTGTTCTTACAGAGGGCCCAAGTGTTCCCAGAACCCACATTGGGTGACTCAAAACTGTCCAAAGCTCCAGCTCCAGGAGATCCAATACCCTCTTCTGGTCTCCATAGCCACCTGTACTCACATGTACACCCCCCCATACATATACATTATTAAAAATAAATCTTTTAAAAAATCCTAATTTTGTTTAATTAAAAAACATTTTTTGGTGGTAGGGCTTTCTTCATGCTAAACGCATATAGTATTGCTGAGCTATATATACCCTCAGGTGTATATATCTTAATCTAAAAAAAAAAAGTGCTTTGAGGGGTTTAGTTGGTAACGTGCTTGCCACACACACATGAAAACCTGAATTCAATACCAACTACGCACATAAAAGAGAGGTACAGCAGCACACAGCTGTATTCTCAGTGTTGGGGAGGTAGACAGGATTCCTGGCCAGGCAGGGGTTTGCTGAGCCAGACAGTCTAGCTGAATTGGTGAGTTCTAGTTTCAGTGAGAGACTATCTTAAAAAATAATGTGGAGAGCAACTGAAGAAGACATCTGATATCACTCTCTGGCCTGCACACACACTTTTCTAGCTTGGTATGGTGGTGCAGGCCTATAATCCCAATAGTCAGGAAGCTGAGGCAGGAGGATTGCAAGTTCAAATTCTGCTTGGGCTACAGAGTGAGTTTAAGACTAGTCTGGAGGGCTGGAGAGATGGCTCAGTGCTTAAGAGCACTGGCTGCTCTTTCAGAGGACCTGGGTTTAGTTCTTAGCACTTTCATGGCTGCTAACAATGGTCTGTAACTCCAGTTCCAGGGCCTCTGACGCCCTCTTCTGACCTCTTCAGGCACTGCATGACACGTGTACACATATACATGCAGGCAATACATTCATACACATAAAATATTAAAAAAAGACTACATGGGGCTGGAGAGATGGCTCAGTGGTTAAGAGCACTGACTGCTCCTGTAGAGGACCTGGGTTTGATTTCTAGCACCCACATGGCAGCTAAGAGCCGTCCCTAACTCCAGTTCCAGGGGAATCTGAAGCCCTCTTCTGACCTCTGAGGCTTTGTACAACATAGGTGCATTCACATACATGCAGGCAATATACTCATACACATAAAATAAAAATAATAAATAAAAATTTTAAAAAAGATTAAAAAAAAAAAAAAAGACTACTCTGGGCAACTGAGATGCTACCTCAAAATAAAAAGTGAAAAGAGAGATCTGAGGAGATGGTTCAGTGAGTAAGAGTGCTTGCTGAAGACCTGAGGCCTGTTGTATACAATCGTGTTCCCAGCACCCATGCAAAAGCCAGGCATGGCCACATGCACCTATAACCCTAGTGTGGGGGTTGGGGAGGTGAGGTGGGGAGTTGAGGGGGGTGTGGGAAGATAAGAGAGTAAGATGGAGGACCACTGAAGCTTGCTAGCCACTAGCCTAGCTGAAACAGGATTTAGGATTCAGTGAGAGACCTTGTTTCAAGGGAGTAAGGCAGAAACCGACAGGGGAGGACACCCAAATGGGCATCCATGTCTACATGCACAGACACACACACAAAACTGTGAATTCAGTGGTTGAACACATTCTTTTTGGGGGGGGTCTCTTTTGAGACAGGGTCTCCCTGTAGCCCCAGCTGTCCTGGAACTTGCTATGTAGACTAGGCTGGCCTTGAATCACAGAGATCCACCTGGCTCTGCCTCCCGAGTGCTGGGATTAAAGGCGTGAGCCACCACACCCATGCCCAGCTCGAACACATTCTTTTTTTTTAGGATACATAAATCTTTTATTCAGATAGTAGCCAAGAATTCTATGTTCTTTGAACATCAAATTACATAAAAAGATTTTACAAGATTAGTCTATAAGCAAGGAAATACTATGGTTATAAATTATACATTTTCTGTAATTTTATAAGATATCATTTAAAATTTCTTCCAAAAGAATACAAATTGCTCAATTAGTATGCTCTCAAAAAAAAGCTAAATCAAACAAAAGCTAAATCCATGAAAAAAATGGCAAATGAATGAAGGAATGCTCTCCACCCAGGTACAGCTTTGTAGATTCCCAATAGGACTCATGCAGGAAACAGCTACATCTACTTAACTAGAATATATGTATGCTAAAAATTATTTATATATATGTGAATATATATATATGTATGTATTAGTGTGTGTGTATGAGAGTGTGTATTTCTGCATTAAAATGGTACATTTGCAAGTGAAAGTATAACTTGTGGCTGTCAATTCTACCATGTGGGTCCTGGATAATAAACCCAGGTTGCCAGGCTGAGCATCAGCACCTGTCAGGTGCCTGTACCCACTGAGTTGTCTCACTGGCTCTAGGATATATTTTTTTTAATTATTTATTTAATAACCACATACTTAGAAGAAGCATTTCATTACAACAGCATTGACATATCCAATAACAATTTCCAGAGCTAAGATGCATCTCTTTCAAAATTGGCTGTAAAT